CTTAGTATGGACTTATATGTTTGTTTCCTTACTGTCCAAGGAATCTTTAGCATCCGTCTCCAACAGCACAGTTCCGGAGCATCGATTTTTCTCCTTTCAGATGTCTGTATTGATCAGGATTTATCAGAGTCTAAACCAATTTTTTCTTTGTTTTTACGGAAATGTTCCGGTCCTTCCATAAACATCAACTATGTTACAAGAATCGATATAATATATTATATGCGTTAAAGAATGATTAAAATAGAAGTGAAACTAAAATTTCTGGCGTTAAGAAAACTTGTAGTGTTATGTTTGAAAGAAAACAAATTTCCTCTTATTTTATTTACGCACATTATAGAAAATCCCCCCGGGGAAAGCCCCTCCAACTTTTTCCACCCTAATTTTTTTGTCGTCATCATCCATCCAGCTACCCTTTCAATCTTGTCAGCACATCGCTCTTTTGGTAATACTACAAATATTCTACAGCATTGTAACGCGTACCTTGATCGAACGTAAACGGTAGAATAATCATGTATGAAAAAAATCATACCTTGCTAGACATAAGGAACACTTTTAACTATGCTTATCAATAGTGAATTTCACGATATACCTAAAAGAGGTAACAAAATGAGGTCATATTTACAAGACTTGTCACAATATCTATAGAATTCCTTCGCAAAGATCAAAAGGCTTGAATATATAACAAACCCAAATCTCGATATGCATAACAATAAAACTTTATAGCGATGAATCCGGTTCACTTCATCCGTTATCCGGATATCCGGATTTCTGCGAAACAAACGAAGGGTCATTTTGTATCAAAGACGAAAAAGTCAACTGCAAATTAAAGGTAAAAGAAAGTTTACCTTTTAAACAGGGAATTACAAAATTCGTATGTATTTGTTTACAACAACAAAAATATCAAGCAGTAATTATAATAATACTTAATTATGTGCCAGCGTTAAAAATACACTGCCACAGGGATCAAACTTTTTAACTTTGTTTTTATCTTTTATTATTATTATTATTAAGTTTTAATTATTATTATTAACTATGTAGGTTAAGAACATAATACTAACTAACGTACTACCTTAATCTGATAACAAATTTGATTACTATTTAAAAATAAAAACATCTTAGATTCATCAATGACCAAGTACCAATTCTTAAAAGGCCGGCATCGCACTTGCGAGGCTTCTGGCATGGCCTCCTGCCCGTTTACCTTATTACATAAATAAAATCCCTCAGTCTTCCCAAACCGTTCGCAAATATCTGGTTCTGTTGCGGAACTGAGGTATAGAGTAGTGAAATCATATAGACAGTTCTAATCAAACAGTAGAGCATGCCTACGGGATCTGAAATACTTTACAAGCACCTAGGACCTAAGTAATCCCAGAAGCAGGCACATGCAGTATGTCTAAGACCTCAAAAATGCATGACACTTTCCGTTGTCCAAGAGATTCATTCCCTAATATACCCAGAAAAAACACAGATGGGTACGAGAAAGTGTAGTAATATTTTTCTGTATCCGTTTCATTATGTTTTAATTAATTAACTTAATTTTGCGTCATCTTACACTAAATATTTATTATGTTTTACCTTTTAATTGGAAAACTAGACGATTTCTACCGAAAAAATTCGTAATATTTGTATTTCACACTTTTCCTAATCAATTAACCTTACTTGCGTATCGCTACCTGTTATGATTGATTTGATGTGCTTAGTTACAAATGTGCTGACTTAGTAAGCTCAATTTACTTTTGTTATGTATCGGTATTCGAAATTCACAACTTATTTACAAGTTGTGAACTTGTTCGGGTGGATAGAAATGTCTAGTTTTTGTTTCCAACATAGCACTATAAACTTCTTTTTAAAACTAAGTATCTTATAAATTAACCTTGAAAAGTAGTATCTTAATTAATAAAAGCACTATCTAGATACAATTTTATAACAAAGATTAATAAGATCTACCAAGAAACCAAAATTATGACGATAAACAACTATATGTTTATAGCACCTGTATCTAAATTTTTTTTAAATAACTCTCCATATTAGCTTATCATTAAAAAAATCAAACACACCACTACACGCAATACTCGTCGAGCGAGTTTGCGTATCTTATTTATTTATTTATTTATTTATTAAGGAACACCAACAGATTACTTGTATATATTTTCTAATTAACAATATTGGGTTTTATTCTAGCATGCAATCTAATAATAGGTGTACACAACATTGACTCTAATAAATGATAGCGGACAGAGTTTACTTAAGTATTTGTATCTTTAAACATAAATAAATTGAAACGTGGAAAATATTACATGACTTATGGCTGAGATGACTGAATTTTCTTCTTAAAACTAGGAAGTGAGTCATAATACACGTCAAGACTATGTCTACAACTACATTGGTTAAAATTCCTAAACATTCTACTGAGGGGCGCATGTTTACCTAGATTGGTTAAGGACTGTGGAACGACAAAAGTATCAGTCTGTCTTGCCGAAGCCGCGTACAAATTATTTGAAGAAGTCATAAGTATGTATGAGGGTGTGCAATTATTTAATCAATTACCGTCTAAAAGTATAAAATTCGTAATATAAGCGCGTTTAATTAATTCAAAAAGGCATTAAAGATGCATATCAGAATGAGCCTAGTAGACATTAAATATTAAGTTTCTCATGTAAATAAAATACATTCTTTTTGTAATGAGAAATAAAGTTCTTTAAACATTAAATAAATAATACATTTTAAAACTGCTCTTACTTTTTGGTAATACTAAAATCAAAATCTTAATCAGAATTCATCGGAAACGATATAAAATATCCAACGATTAATCTCAAGATCGTTAATGTAGATAAACAGAAAATGTGTTTACATTCGAGTTTTTCCACTCTTTGATCGAAAATAAATTCGATCACTTGCCAGATGCTAAACTGTATCAAGGCATTCACTATTTTACGACATAGCAAATCATATAATCGACCCTTTGAGTTTTAAATCGGGATACAGTTTCTTTAGTTCTCTTGTTTGAGTCTATTGTACTTTCATATACAAGTTAATTTTGCGTTGCATGAAACAATTAATATAGAAATCTGGGCCTCAGATTTCTATATATTCATTTGTTAATCTAATAAGCAAGTAGATGATCAGCCTCCTGTGCCTGACACACGTCGTCAACTTGTCAACAACACGTCGCAAGCCGGTTTCCTCATAATATTTAAAGGTAGGTATTTTTGAAATTTTAATATACATATAAATATCTTTTCAGTAGTTACATACCGATATATGAAACATTTTGCTATGCTACCTCATAGAGAATGTTCATAATGAAAGTTCTCTGTACTGAGTATTAGGAATAAATAAAAATAGTTCTCGAATCGCCGATATATGTATAATGGCGCGTCTAAACGGGCCATGTTTTGCTGCAATTGATGGCTGCAACACTGTGGCCGGCAACATTGCAAACAATAGCAGCCACACTATGCAATATTGCAGTAATATCCCGGCCATATAGCCAAACATGTTTTGTATAGCCACATATGGCCGATGTTGCCCCGATAGATGGCCGGACGATCGCTAGGCTATCGAATTCAACTGCAATATTGCACGGCCAGTTTTCTTGTTGTTTCAGTCACTCTCTTTTTTATGGCATAGTGTATCCTTTTCTACGCGACATGACGTTTGCTTTGAGTGAAGTGTGCCTGTTGCTTTATTCTGTGTTTTGCGATCAGCTGTATTTGACGTTAGATTACTACGTAAAAATGACTACTTTTGACATTCTAGTTCTTGAATAATTTATTATCAAGACTTATTTCTAGACTCAAATTGTCTACAGTTTCACGCCTATTTAAGTAAGGTCGAATCCACAATCTCTTCTTTTTCTGTTTCTTTTTTAAAACAATATAAGCTGCTGCGACAAGTGTGATTTCGTCAGCCATTGTTGCCGGTTTGTGTAGCCCGTTTAGGAGTCTGCATCATGGGCCATACTATTGCAACACATTGCCCAGCCATAGATTGTTCGGCCCTCAGCTGCATTAAAATATTTTTGTAATGGCCGGGCAATTAGTGGCCAACAGTGCAGCCATCAATTGTAGCAAAACATGGCCCGTTTAGACGCGCCATAATACTATTATTTTTTATTGTTGTAGACATCGATGTAACATATTTATAAAATAAATCAGTGGTGCTACAACCTCTTTAGGTCTAGGCCTCAGATTTCTAAATCTGTTTCATGATCATTTTTCAATCAAATAGGCAAGTATCAGTGCCTGACACACGCTGTCGACTTTTTGGGTCTAAGACATGTCGGTTTCCTCACGATGTTTTCCTTCACCGTTCGAGCGAATGTAAAATACGCACATAGAAAGAAAATCCATTCGTGCACAGCCGGGGATCGAACCTACGATCTCAGGGATGAGAGTCGCACGCTGAAGCCACTAGGCCAACACTGCTCATATTTTTAACATATTTTTAATAAAGTTAAAATATTTTCATTTGTATTTAAATTGTGATTAATAAATTTAGTATGTAAGGCTTCAAACTGATAAACTATCAAAGAAAGTCTTGCCTCTGTTGAATAATTCAGAATAGTAATGTAAACTCGTACACGAAAAATGACACTCAATTAATACTCGATAGAGCAGGGTAATACCGTTCATAATTCAACTATTATTTAGTAAAAGTGGCTTGTTTACGTATAATTAACGCAACACAAACACAGCGTAAACTAATTTCATTGTCAAATATTCAACGTTTTGATTACAAATATCATCACTCATCGTCAATTACATTTTCATCAGTTTATTTATGTTTAGTATGTAAACATTTTGGAAAGCTTTTTTAAATATAAGCCATCATGGCGCTGGCTTTACTGAATACTTTTAGAAGAAGACTTGAAGACGGATTGTCAATAATGCGCTTTATTTTTAATCGTCCAATCTTATAAGTTCTTTATAACCAATCTAAAGGTCTCAAAAACATTAAATTTACGTGTTATATTTTTATTAGTTTAAACAGGCATTATGGGCAAACAAAAGCAAGCATATTCTTGCCCCAATTTGTTTGCAACGAAAGTCGGTATTGCAACGGCTTATACTTTTTCTCATTGGTGACGTTGAATTTAGATAAATCCATTTAGTACTTAATAACGGTTACGTACGGTTAATAATTGTATATGTAATATTTATATGTTTCTAATATCGAATTTATAATCAATTGGAATCATATATAAATAATCAAGGTAACAAAAAGCAATAATACTTACTACTATTATTATTATTTTGAGTTTCCATTCATATTTAAGCATATTTTAAGACCAATAATAATCTATTTATAAAAAGGAAAATGCTGAGGAATATTCTTGGCCCAATTAAAAGGAAGGATCAGAAGAAATGATTGCGGTAATGCTACTCCAACCTCATAGACTCGGAAGCCAAAGTTCATAGACTTCGATGGGCACCTAGAGAAAGGACCGGACTGGAGTGTTAAGAAAGTACTATGAGTACAAATGGGCCGTCAACCCGTCGGTCCAGATATCGCTGGAAAGACGCCGTAGAATAGGACTTGCGATCCAAGTGGATGATTGGCAAGCAGCAGCGCAATATCGATGATGGTAGCGTTTTATTGGAGGGCAAGACTTACTTTAGGTTGGCTTGGATTTCGTTGCGCTAGCAGAGCGTTAAAGGGTAAGGTAAATTACCATTTCTAAGCGGACCCGACAGACGTTGTCCTGCATGAAAATCTTTTTCGGCAAACGAAAAATAATTCAGACGGCTCAGACTGGGAATCGAACCCAGATCGTTTGGTTACGCGCCAACAGATCTGGTAGATCTGGTAGATAAGCTATCCGAGACACGTACCTGAAACACCAGCTGTTTAGTTGCAGTATTGATAAAGAAATCTAGAAACCAACTGCAGCACCATCTGCCGGGATGATTTGTGAATCTAAACCAACCAGGGCGCCCAAACGCATACAAAAAAATTCAATCAAATCGGTCCAGCCATTTAAGAGGAGTTCAGTGACATACACATGTACAGTAGAACTATATATGTAAAGATTATCTTATGTCTAACAATCGAATCCATCAACGTAAACAACGATAAAAAATGTTGACCCATATAAATAACAAGCCTTTTTAACGTTCTTTCTTCCGATTAAAATGCTTTCTTCCTAACAAATAAAATCACATCAAAAGAAAACAGTAGTTTTAAGCACCACTTGAATACACTGTTCAGGGAACTGAGGGAAAGAACGTTTCAGAATTTTAACTGCTTATTCAAAGAAACTTCTATCGGACGACTTTTGTTATTTATTCAATTATTAGGTAAAAATTCAGTTACCATGGTAACAATCACGTAGCCCAAATAAAATGTTTAAAGAACTTTATTTCGCATTACAAAAAGAATGCATTTTATTTACATGAGAAACTTAATATTATGTACATACGAACGAGATACACGTCGCCATCAGCTATCCCAATTTTAGTCTACTAGGCTCATTCTAATATGTATCTTTAATGCCCTTTTGAATTGATTAAACACGCTTATATTACGAATTTAAGACGGTAATTGATTAAATAATTGCACACCCTGATAATTAATAGACTTTTTTAAATAATTTGTGCGCGGCTTCGGCAAGATAAGCAAACTCGCTCGACGAGTATTCCGTGTAGTGGTGTGTTTGATTTTTTTTTAATGATAAGTTACTATCCAGAGAGTTATTTTTTTTTTTAATTAAGATACAGGTGCTATAAACATATAGTTGTTTAATCGTCATAATTTTGGTTTCTTGGTAGACATACGATTGCATATTATGTCAACTTTATAATAATTCAGGGGAGTGTTGAAAAAATTTTGCGACAGTAAATCACGTTAATATGGCAACATAAAAATAGGTTTTATTTAATATAGAATTACTATCTGCCACCTGTCATCTTCTTGTAGCTGTCCCTCGCTAAAAAATAAATAATACATTCACACTACAACCTTTTTAATCTGGCCCTCAGATTTGTGTATCTATTTCGTGATCATTTGTTTTATGATCAGCGTTGTGTACCTGTCATGTACCGCAGATGACTTTTGGGTCAAATGCATGTTTTCCTTCACCGTACGAGTGAAACGATGTTCCATTCATGATGACGATGATCTATTGACATAGTACCTACGCTACGAACATGAACCTACGACCTTAGGGATGAGAGTCGCACCCCGGTGCCAACGTTGCTCTTACTGCTTAATATAAAAATGTGGTAAAAGCAACAATAACGTTGACACCTTTCAGTTGGGAAATCAAGTAGTCAAGCTGAAATTCTTCCGATCCAACATATACCCTGTTGCGTTGCGTTAAGTTACAAAGAGCACCGCACAATACCTCAAGATTTTCTTAGACTGCATCGTTCAAATTCCAGAATATTCTGGCCCGAGAGACCTTCTAATCATCAGCTTTGGGAGGTATGCAAAGAGGTGCCAATTGACAGGTCTATAAAACGCCGAAAGTGGATATGGGTAGGCTCCACGCAAGCCTTTGACCGGAATCCTCTAGACAAAAGAAAACGTGGCCGTCCGAGACCTGGCAATGAAGCATCGTTGCAGAGGCGAAGGATATGTAAATAGGAATATTGTAAGTTTTTAATATTGTGTTTAAATTTGTAATTCTATCCATGAACAATATTTATGTACCGATACTACTTTCTTTTCCCTTTACGTATCCTTTAGATATCCCAGATGAATTCAGTTTCGTTCTATCATTTTTGTATTTTTAAAGGTTTCTTGATAAAACACAATAACATCATATAATATTTATAAAATATTATTTACTAGCTGATGCCCGCGACTTCGTCTGTCCAGGATTAGTATTTCGAGTAGCTTATATTAGCGTGGCGTAGAAAAAAGCTACTAAAGATATTAACTATTTAAAATATACATTTCTATCATACATTACAAACTCTAGCGGTTTTGGCAGCGCACACCAGCCCTGCGATTCTGTAACTCACTATTCGAACTCACACAGCGGTTTTCGCATCGGCGGTCGCTCTCAAATCAGTCGTGAAGCAGTCATTTTATGATTTGGCATTCTGAAAAGGTGGGAACTTGTAGTTTATTGTTTATCAGAATGCCAAATCATAAAATGACTGCTTCACGACTGATTTGAGAGCGAAAAGTGAGTTACATAATCGCAGGGCTGAATAGCTCGCAGATCGTAGATTCTTTCCTACTTATTTTATATTTTGGACAATTCACACAATATTTTTTTAAATTGTAGCCTATGTGTTATTCAAATATATAAGCTATATTATTGTAAAGTTTCATTAAAATCCATTCAGTAGTTTTTACGTGAAAGATTAACAAATATCCATCATACTTACAAAGTTTCGCGTTTATAATATTAGTAGGGTAGTTCAAGAAATTTAATTAGCATTCTCAAAGAGCAGTATGCATTTGAATGTCGGTGGAAAGGAAATTCCATTCGCAATTAACACTTCAATGGTGATGAGAATCATTGTGTGATCGTCATAACTTAGACGCAAAATATGCGTCAGTCAGAGAAGTCTGATCACTTCTGTATAAAGGAAATGATCAAAGCCTTTTGCAATTTAACAAGTTGTATCTGCCACTCGACTTTTATGTCTTGATAAAACGGAGCGATATTATTGAAGTGAAACTTCTTGGGCATGAGGGTATAATTTTTAAAAAACGTCACGAAGATGTGCAGCTTTTTTGTCGAATAAAAGGGAGCGAGCAATTGAGACCGATTGAGAGAGAGAGTGAGAAGGGCGAATTACCTTGTAGAAATGTTATTTATAAAATTAAAATTTCGTAAAGAGAATTTATGAAATAATAGTATTTTATATTTTATGCAAAATAAATTATTGAAATCTCAAATGACGAATTTTAAATTTATTATCGACTTAATAAATTAAATTTATAATTTGTATTAATTTTCGACACTTTTAATATTTTAAGGACAATTAAATTCATATCTTCCTTTTTCACTCTCTCTAAGTCTCGGAAATCTAAAGTTTTAGATTTGTATAAATATGAACAAGACTTAAAAATTGGTTTGCCAAAGAATTTTCACTTCTGACTTGTGTACTTTGTACGCACGCACGTTTTTTTTGCTCAAGAGGTGTTTCGCTTTCCGTCAACTGTTTGGCTGAGAACCTGAATCGAGACATAATAACTCTTTTGACATATAGGAATCAAACTTACGAATAAATCTTGACTCCGAATCTCACCTTAAAATCTTTTGTAGTGCTTTTGTTTTCCCAAAGTCAAGCGAGCAATACAATTTTGTTCTAGTCTATATTAGCCTTTATGAGAAAATATGTTTAATTTTACTGTTTACATTAAACGCTGGTTTATGAAGCCGGTATTACGCCTAGCCCCAGTTAGCTTACATATTAATCTTGTAAATCCTATTGCAAGTTATTACATGCAAACATAAACTAACACGTTCTAAGGTTCATAAAAAATCATTAAAATCCTTAACAAAAAGTATCGCTACAACCCTTGGTCTTGTATATATATTACATATTTTTCACCAGCCAACGTCATGTGCTATCTTTACAGGGTGGTCAAAAAGTCGTGGATCAAACGCAACTAGGGGATAGATGAGGTCATCAGCTGCAAAAAATTGTTCTACAGGAGGTCCCTAAGCTCAACCCCCGCAGGGTTATAATTTATTTTGCGTTTCTATAAGAAAATTGACTTTTTTTACTAATTCTACTACTTTTTACTATTCTAATGGGTCTTAGCTCTAGTAGTTTCTTCTTGACGTTATCCTTCACCGTATGTACAAATATTATTGCTGCCGGGGGTCGAATGTAGGACCTCAGGGTTGAGAGAGTGAATTTTTAAAATAAAGTATTTTCTAACTATCTCTTTTCTCGCGTTTTGTACACTTACATTTTATCAATTTTGAGACAAAGCCACGGGTGTAAGCTACTAAAATATAAAGGCAGGGTAAGCTCAAGAGTATTAAATCATTCTTAAGTGGCCATTATATACATATTTGAGGGTAAATGTTTGTTTAAGCCCTTAAGTGAAACAATTTTTGACTAACTGCCATTTGAGATATGATTTAATTCTTGTTACATGTTTATTTGTTTATTTTTTTAACGGCTTTATTTTTTACTCTTTAGAGTTCATAATAAAGTACCATGATAAAGAAAAATATGTTTTCTGGGTTTATTTTATGAATAACAGAACGTTAAATTGGAAACTGATAATATTATTCAATCTAAAATAACTAAAAATAATATTCCATCCCTCGCTCGAGGAAATTAATAATTATCTATTCCAAATTGAATATAATTTTTTTCCATCTCTATATATGTATATCTAAAACAAATTCTTGTTCGTATACAACACAAGAACTGCTGAACAATTTGTATAATGTTTGAATTTGTCTTTATCTGAAAAATTATACAAAATATGATAATAAAACATATAATTAAAACCCTCAACCTTGCCGTTTATTTGTTACGTGGCATGTTCACGGGTTGGAAAACTATTTGGTTCATTTGTTCTTGCGCTTGATAATACGAAAAATGTCGTAGAACACAAGGTGCTTCGGAAGAGTAAACCAAAATACATCGCCATTATTACAAATAGCTAGTAAAATACTTACGTGATTTTCTAATTTTAGTTAGAAAAGTTCCGTTTTTTATTTAATTTTTTTGGTTTCCGGAATAAGTTTTGGATTATTTTTTGTCTCTGCTTGTACAGCCAGCTATGAAATGTGTATTTAAATTTATATGCAATAAGTGTCAGCATCTGTATAGTATATGTAGTACATGTGTACTAGATAACGAAATATATGAAAGGGTGAGAACTAACTAGCAACCCAGGTAGGGTTGCTAAGAGGTTCATAGTGGTAGGATTTTCTCAAAGCAATCGGATAGGGTCACCACGATAATTAAGGGCTTGAGGGAGTCTTCGCCACTTTGAGAGGAAACGAGAAATTCAGCAGTTTTCAAATCTGATTATTTGTGTATAAAACAACATCTTTAATACTATAATACTTACACATATTCAAACACACTCGTGTGGGCTGTCGGTGTATCGCACACATGTCAGCAGTAGGTATTTTTCATGTTACTGGCATTGACGATAGATGGCGTTGGTATCAAGTTTATAATATATTTATTTTAATTTCAATCTTTATCTCTGTTATTGATCCAATCTGATAATGATAACCGAAACTCGAAACATCAAATTATTTGAATTGCGCTGTATATTTGTAGCCGTTTAAAACTTTCTGACTGTTCTGTTTCTGACTGACTGTCTCGCGCACCTTGTGCAGAAAATTTTAGGACAACCGCGTCAGACGTGTCAGTGGTTGACAAATGAAATCCACTATTCTTATCGAGATTCAACACTAAGTCTATTGTTGTTTATTATTAAAACTAAACGCATAATGTCGTTGCGGGCAAAATATTAGCTATTTTACACGTCGTAATAGAACCATGCATAATTTATGCGGAATTAATTAGAATTTTATTTGCAGCGAAGTTAAGAGGGCAAAAGTATCCACTTGGCTAGCTAGTGTTGAATATAATTTGTAATTGCTGAGCTGTTTAAATTTATTAATATGTTTCCTATGATTATCTTTGTGATTTTGCTAAGAGTTAGATATTGTCGTAGCGCGGGTAGTACAGTAATTAAATATTTTATTGCAGCTCAATACATGTCGGAGAAATGGCGCTGGTATCAGCTGCCATTGTCATTATAATATAAGAAATCAAAGTCAAATTAGATCAACAGTTATATGGTTTATTTGATTTTCCACCATAGTCATTATTTTTATCGAGAACGGAGTGACTATGATACCAGCGCTATTGCTCCGACATATACAATTTATCCAATAGGTAAAACAATTTGGAAAATTTTAAATTAAATCTGACATGATGACATAAATCTGTGAAATGTCATTGCTTGTGGCGGCGTCCATGCGTCGGGTTGTCTCTCTCCCTAAAATATGGCGAGGGGGCCGATGGCTGGCCATGCGTCATACTCTTGAACGGGTGCTACTTGTGGTGACTGGTCGTACTTGAATTCGTGTATGCGGTGATGTTAATTATTTCGACTATGTGTTTGCGTGTTGTTCCCACGAGAATGTAAGTGCGTGCTCCTATTTCACCATGCCTCCTGCTGGGGACAAGTCTTTGTTTTTATTTATGTTATTATTATTAATTACTTAAAATGTCATGTGGAACATGGTGTAATGGTTGCAGCTCCTTACAAACGTTGTGTAAAAAAAAAAAAAACATGGCGATTAAAAAGAGTGGCGGAGAGTTTATTGCCAGTTCTTCTCTTCCGTTCTACGCCCTTGATTTGAGAACTGGCAGTAAATGTAAAATTAGAAGCATGAATATTTATTTCTTTAATGACGAATCACAAGTGTACATTGTGTTACCTACGTGAATAAATGATTTTTGAATTTTTTTTTGAATCTGACAGCTGTGTGTGCAACTTGTAAGTAGTAAAAATAGAATTGATGGAATGGGGACTCCATTAATAGTTTTTACACGCAACGTCTTTTTTGTTACGCCTTAGTTGGAAATGAAAGGAAATGTCGTAAGTAGGTATGTTAGGCAAAAGACGTCGCGTGG